GAAGTCCAAGTATGCTATTTTAAATTGCAAACTCCGTATCAGTAATTTTTTCTCTCCCTTCCCTGCAGGTCCATGAATCTTACCACAAGCACCTAAAGTCACTGCAGTCCAAGCTCTGAAGTGTCTTGAGGACGAGTTCAATCTCCCAAAAGTAACTGTACTCTACTCCCCTTATACCTGTCACACAAATTCGTGTGGAATCTTTATCAAATTTAGAAAAGCTAGAGCAAATGATAAATTGACCCTTTTCTCTTTTTATAAATGAAAAATAAAACATATTTGAGATTAAAGGAAAAAGATGTGTTTTACAAGTGCAATTAACGCTGAAAGAGACCTGTTAAGCATTCAGAAAAAGCTTTTAAGAAATGCAGTGTGACTTCCATCTGTAATGTTGCTGATCCCAGGAGGCCAGGACTTTTGATAATTAGTAGAATTTAACTACTAAGTAGTTAATTATTTTCACATCTTAATTGCTAATCACTGGATATGCAAGTGTTTTTAAGCAAAGGTATTTTTTAAGTGGGGGTAGAACCCTTCCAAGCTTTCCTGCTAATTGTCCTACCACTCCTGCAGCGGGCCCTGGTTAGAAAGCAGGACTGAAGAAGAGGGATTGGGGAAAGAAACTAATCAGGAAAGTGTGTGTGTGTGTGTGTGTGTGTGTGTGTGTGTGTGTGTGTACACACAAGGATTTCCTCAGCACAGGCTACTGCAGGGTCACTGCCCCATGTGATTAGGAACTAATCTTCCATTGGAGGGTTTCCCTAAATTGTTGCTCTCGTAGCAGTACAACTCCCTTCGCCCCAACTTCTCGGGAAGGGGTAGACAGCAAAGTTATCTCTACATACAACTTTTGGCAACTGATGGGACCTCCAAATCAGTGGTTTTGATCTCCCTCTCTCTCTCCCTCTCTCTCCCTCTCCTGAGAGAGATGCAATAAAAAGGAGAAAAAGAGAGTCACATTTCCTTCTTAGTAGAATAAGGGCAGGAAGAGCTATCAGTTATGGTTACTGTAACTTTGGTGACCATATTAACTAAATTTTCTGGAACAATCCAGATTCCCTCTATTCTATCACTTTGGTGTAAGCTGTTAAAATGCTCGGTGGTTACAGTGTCTGGCCTTACAAACATAAAAGCATCACTCGCCGCCTCTTACACCCAGGAGTCGCACAGAAAGATCCTTTGACAAACCATGTGTTCTGATTTTTGGATCAGAAAATATAATCATTGAAACTGTGGCTAAAGGATAAATGGAAGTTCCATAGAAAATCTGTTTCTTATTGTATATCTGGCATTATTTTCGGTATGTTTCTAGGAGCTTTTTCTGACTTGCTAAATTGTCCTTTCAGCTGAAATCTAATTTATACAATCATTCTGTATTTAAAGGCTAAACATGTATCTCTTAATGAATTTCTTCTTAAAATCAGTGTAAAACAAGTTACTTGATTTTTTGTTTTTGTTAACTCCTTGTGACATCTGCCTCATGAAACCAGTTCTAACATCAGTCTTGAAAATGTAGTATGTAATTCAGTGGAAATGTAGTTCCTATCTTGGGACCTGCCATAAAATCTATCCCAGTGGAACGGGTAATAGGAAATAAGGTCCTGCAGAAGAAATACTGTCAGTTGACACAAGCCTTAATCTTTCCACCAGGAGTACTGATTGATAATTGTGTTAAGACTGAAGTAAAAAAGCACTCTGTTAATCTCATTTGGGTATATCTTTGACTAGATCAGATTCTGGGAAATAACAGAGAGTAAATTCAAATTCCTTAATATTGACCTGTTAAATGTAGAATTGTTTCCAATTAGGGGTTAAAAATCTTATTCACAGAGGGATATCCATGGTCAGGATCTAAGGGTGTTTGAAATGATACCCACCCAATCCAGCTGCATAGATCTGGGATCTAAGCAGGTTGGAACAGGTGGTGGACTCTGCAGAGCCACCTTCAGTCCAGCACCTTGAGTTTTATTTAAAAACAATCTGATGTTGACAGTATTTTTATTAACATTGGAATGTTTTGTCTTAAACTTTGTTCTCTGTAATTAAAGAATAAAGATATCATAAAACCTCACTAATTTGTTACTATCAAGATGGAAAGAACGTGCCACATAACTAAACATGAGTTTAAATTATGAAGAATTTTAAGATACTGGTGTAGGTAACACTAAACAAAAAAAGGAAGAACTGCCTAAGCAGATAAGGCTGAATGGGCCGTGATGCTGTCATTGCAGAGTATCTGAGTGCTCTGTCCATGCAGGAATACAGGTTTCTTGGCTGCTCGTAAGGAAGCAGCAGACCCAGCCTGCTGTCCCTTAGAAGCCAGACTTTGCCACAGATAAGTTGGTTCTGTTGGGTTCTTTTATGAGCCATTTTCACAAAGAGTACAGATAAATTTCAACCTAATCTCCAAAATGATGATAAATCTCAGTAGAATTAATGAGATTTTTCTGTTAGATGATACTGATATAAGAGCCTTTGAAGTTTCATAGAGGTTTTTGCTATTTGTAATGGATGAAGGTTGGTACTTCCTCATGTATTTGGAGTTCGACTTCATGCTCTACTCAGCAGATACCGAGGTGTACTTAAGTGTTTGGATATTAGTGACCTCAAAGCACAGTTGGCGCCAAAGCCTTTGGGGGCCTTCACGTTCTTGTCTTCAGAACATAGTACTGCTAAGTAGCAGCTTATCTTCAGAACATTCACTTAATTGCAACATTAACCACGTTCAGGTACTTTCTGAGAACTCACTGCTTGTAATTTCAGATACCATATACCTAGAGGTGTTTAACAGTTCCTAAAGTTACCAATGTTAGATCTTAATTCTTGGATTCTAGTCAGTGCAGGGCGTGGTAGGGGAAATATATTCAGATTCATCATCCTCGAGTCCTCTGGGGAACAAAAATTCCTTAGATGATTGACTGTTGGTCAAAGTTCCTCCTACCCCTTTCTGAGTTTTTTCCATCCATCCTAGTAGTAAGGGAGAGGATTAGATGCAGATGGCCTGTAACACTCACTACTCTTTTTATACATGTAGAAGGGATTATAGGTTTTCTTCAAGCAGTAGCTCTGCTGCAGCTGGAGAGAGGACCAGTGCCAGGAGAATGATGATTCTGCTTGAGAGAAGAGTTTTTTTGAGTCTCCTCAGATAAAGGTTTTGATCATTTTCACGGAATAACAAAGAGATCATCTCAGCTAATTGAATATTTACTGATCCATTCCTGGAGGATTAGACCAAGTCATTGTAAATGATGAAAATGTATTTTCATTTTAAAATATTGGTGGAGTTTTGCTTATAGTTGTCCAAACTATAATTTTCAGTACCTATTTCTGTGGTCCATGATAGTAAACTTAGAATCATAAGGAAATTTTAGAGTTACTGGATGTTAGCTGTTGCAGACCTGCAAATTCCTAGATTCGAAGGGATTTTTGTTTGATTTTGATTTTGCCTTAAATTTAAGTGAGCCACTGATTATCTCTGGAAGATCACGGAAAATTGGGAGGGATTTTAAGAATTCCAAACCAGGGACTTCCCTGGTGGCACAGTGGTTAAGAATTCGCCTGCCAGTGCAGGGGACATGGGTTCGAGCCCTGGTCCTGGAAGACACCACATGCCGCGGAGCAACTAAGCCCGTGCGCCACAACTACTGAGCCTGCGCTCTAGAGCCCGCGAGCCACAACTGCTGAAGCCCGCACACCTAGAGCCCTTGCTCCGCAACAACAGAAGCCACCACAATGAGAAGCCCACGCACTGCAACGAAGAGTAGCCCCTGCTTGCCGCAACTAGAGAACGACGGCGCGCAGCAATGAAGACCCAATACAGCCAAAAATAACTAAAAAAAAATAATAAATTTTTTTAATGTATAAAAAGAATTCTGAACCAAAATAAATTGTTTTGCCACATTACTGTCAGCTGTTTCACAGATTAGGTAACAAATATGTGATCTTACGCATAATATTCCACCTGATGATTGCTACTTTGTAAACACCATTTTATTTCCAATTGCTGTGGATTCGAGGAAATGACTTGTATCTTTTAGAATGTGTAATTACTTTGCTATCTTTTTCCCCTTTAACTGTTGTGGTTTGAGTTTGGTTCCTAGCTGACGAGATGCATTTAGCATGTATTGTTACCCATCCCTGGCAGGACGTGTCAGTGAGGGTGGGAGTACCAAGGAGGCGCGGGAGGTCCAAAGCGTGAGAATCATGGTTGGACAGCAGTGACCCACCAGCTTTGCTGGGCCTGCGAATAAGCCAAACCACTAACCTCTCCTTCTTTTGTAAAACTGAAAAACCCTTAATAAAATCTGTAATCAACACAAAAAGTGTCTTTATTAGGTGATGGTGTTGGGTTTCATTCTGGCTTCCCAGCTTTGATTTTCATAATTGAACAGGAAGGTCATAGCTACTTTCCTAAGCTTTGGGGTGTGGAATAAATGCATATTTATAGTTTCACCACGTCCGTCTTCCACTCTTGACACATTTCTCACGCCCTCCACCTCTCCGCAAGTCAGCCCTCAGAAGAGAGCTGGAAAAAATTGATTTCCGTGCGCAAGGGGGATGCTAGTTCCCCGACCAGGGATCGAACCCATGCCCCCTGCAGTGGAAGCGCAGAGTCCTAACCACGGGACCCCCAGGGGAGTCCCTGGAAGTGTTCGGTCTTGGAGCCCAGGCCCCCGGCAGTTCCCCAGGGAAACCGGGAAGAAGCAGCTCACCGGCCTTGGATCCCGGTAGCGACCGCTTCGCAAAGGAGCGTTCAGGCAGCTCCTAGCAACGTGTCAAGCCGCAAACAAGACGCCGGGCGCCAACTAACGGCCGCGGCGAGCCACCCTGGGAAATGTAGTTCATCTCGGTGCCCCAGGTTCCCTTGTCTCCGGCAGTGAGCGGGCCTAGGACTACAACCCCCAGAGTGCTTCGCGCCTTGCCTTGCTTCCGGAGGCCGGGCGACTTAGAGATTGGCGATCTAGAGGCTCCGAAGCGGGTGGCCTGATTGAGCTGGCCTTGAGTGGAGCCTGGAGCAGCGGATATGTCTGGGACACGTCCAAGCGGCTGCGCCTCCAAGGGGAATGGCGCGTAACGGGGAGGATTTCAGGGGCTGGAAGGATCGTAGGTTGCTCTCGGGATCGAGACGAGCTGGGCGCGAGGAGGGGGTGGCGCATGGAGGGGCGGGGAGTCTCGAGACCGAGGGGGTGATTCCGGGAGGGCCCTAAGGGGCGGCCTCGGGATCTTAAAACGCCTGGCACGAAGTTGGCTGAGCAGATGCAATGACGCGATGGTCTTTGTGGCCCTGAGGCCTTTGCAATACTCCCTTAGAAATTCCCACGGTCTGGGAGGCTGGGAGAGGATCGCTAGGAGATGGCAGACGCCCCTGGATGTGATAAGAGACAAAACGTGTTGAGACTTGTAGGCCGTGAATATTGCATTACAGAGAAACACAACCATTCGGAGTGGCCCCTATACAGTGACCGCACATAAGCTTTGCATTCTAATAACAGGACAGGCCGACACCAGAGAACTAGAGAGGCCCACCTCCCACTCCTTTCTTCCAAGCTGTGCCAAAGGTCAGTTTTGGCAACGTTGAGGAGGAGGTGGGAGAGAATGATAATTCTGGGGAAAACAGTTCTCTATTAATGGAGTGAGTCGGATTTACAGTTAGTGTGAAGGGAAATTTTTCCACCGACAGTGAAAATACTGTCAAGGAGTAACCAGCATTCACAACCGCTCTCTGCCCTGAACGCTGCCAGGAAAGTAGTCAGGGTGTTGCCTGGGAAGGTGTATTGGCCTTAGTGCTAGGCACCCACCTCCTTTCTGAGATGGGTACCTGCCATTTTCCACATTCTCTTTCAGAGTAAGGGATGAGGACCACTGCACTTTTTTCAAGTAATCTCCAGGCCTCGAAAAGTTACCAAGGGGACTTCCCTGGTGGTCCAGAGGCTAAGGCTCTGCGCTTCCGATGCAGGGGGCCTGGGTTCGATCCCTGGTCAGGGAACTAGATCCCACATACCACGACTAAGAGTTCCCACATGCTGCAACTAAGACCCGGTGCAGCCAGATAAATAAATATTGAAAAGAAGAGAAGAAAAGAAAGAAAAGTTACCCAGAACACTTCGCTTCTCATCTGAATTGCTCACCCTACAAGGAATTTTTAAATTTATTTTTGGCTGCATTGGGTCTTCGTTGCTGCACGCGGGCTTTCTCTAGTTGCGGCGAGCGGGGGCTACTCTTCATTGCGGTGCGCGGGCTTCTCATTGCGGTGGCTTTTCTTGTGGAGCACGGGCTCTAGGTGCATGGGCTTCAGTAGTTGTGGCGCGCGGGCTCAGTAGTTGTGGCTCGGAGGCTCTAGAGCGCAGGCTCAGTAGTTGTGGCTCACAGGCTTAGTTGCCCCACGGCATGTGGGATTTCCCCAGACCAGGACTCGAACCTGTGTCCCCTGCATTGGCAGGTGGATTCTTAACCACTGCGCCACCAGGGAAGCCCTACAAGGAATTTTTAATTGATGGAAATGTTTTGACCTCTTGAATGGGTAAAGTGAGAGAAGGCTTGATCAACCTTGGACTCAACCACTGTTAAATCCAAATAATTTTTAAGCAGCCACTTTAATTTTCTTCATTAGGGAGGATGAGCCTGATGGGCAGAATTCAAGTGAGCTGGACAGCGCTGTGAAGGAGCTGCAGGCAGCCCCCAGAGCCTTGAGATGGTAGGCAGAATGCAGAGTAGGAGTGTGGAAATGGGAGCCTGCCCTCACCCCTACTCCCACCTCCAAGATCTTAACTGCATGAAGTACCTTGGGGGCTGGGTGGCCCCAAAGAAGAGTGATGGTTAGGAGCATTGATATCAAACTTATTAATGGGACTTCCCTGGCGGTCCAGTGGTTAAGACTCCACGCTTCCAATACAGGGGGCACGGGTTTGATCCCTGGTCCAGGGAACTAAGATCCTGCGTGTCATGTGGCACGGCTGGAAAAAAAAAAAAACTTCGTATTAAACAGTAAGCAAGCATCTCTTTTGAGCCTCTGAATGTTCATCTGAAAGCATCCTTACATGTCTGTCACTGATCCTGAAGAGTCAGGGACGTGGAATAGAGGAAAACTTTACATCCTGGCTGGCTGGGAGGGTTTGCGTGTGGCGTCTGGAAATCTGAGGGAAAAGGAGAGACTTCTGCCCAGCAGATGGCACCCACAGTGGTGTCCACTGCTGGTTAGTGGGGGCCCTTTTCATGCTCTGAATGAGTCTATTCTCAAAACTCAGAAAACCCTAAAGGGCCTCTGTCTATAAATGCCATTGGTGCACCTTTTCCTCTGGTGACTTGGCAAAAGGCAAAACAGTTCATTCTGCCTTGTTGGTTTCAGTACACGTTCGCTGTCTCATCTTGTTAATGTGATTTGTTTTTCCCATTTTAGGCACCAAAAACCAAGAAGGGATTGAAAGGTGAGTGGAGATGGAACACCACCCTTAACGCCAAAAATAATTCCCCCACTTTGGGTCCACACATGACTTAGACGTGTCTGTCTGAATGTTCTCAGTGTGAGTCTTGCTGATTTCCCCATAATCCCATAGGCAGCTTTGGTTTTCCTAGGGAATTCCTTAGGCTGCCTCATTGGCCCTTGGAGTAATTCAGAAATAAACAACAGATGGGACTTGGGGAAAAAAAATCCTTCTTGTTGGAGTATTTGTATCTAGAAGTATACCGTTGGGGTTAAGGGTGGTAAAGACACTTAAGCTTGATCTGAGAACTAATTCAGTACTCAGACCTGGGTTTCCCCTACATGCTGCATCGGAAAGTGGCCAAGGAGGTGTGTCTTCAAACCAGCTTGGCAGGGGCGGGCGCTCAGCTGGAAGGGGACAAGGAGACTGTTGGTGTGAAAGAAGCTTGTATATGTGCCTAGAAATCCTGAACACTTTTCCCAAAGAAGCATCTGGGCTTTGTTCAGAGCCTGGAAGACTGGCTTGTTGGCCAGTGTGTCACGTAGAATGTAGGTTCTACTGAAAAATCTTCACCATCATCCTTTGAGAAAGTTATTTTCAAGTTCTACCCTGGGGTCTTTCAACAAAGCATTGTGATTTGTTGCCAGGAGTTAGAAAACATCTCATGGCCAGTGAAGAGAGAGCCAAGCCTAAGTCCCAACCTCTGAGGGCTCTGAGGTCCCGGATGAGGTCTCAAGACATGAGGCTCTAAGGACCATTCTTTCCTCCTGAAGTCACAGTGGCCCCTTTTCTGTTCCAGGTTCCATCGATGATGTCCTTGGTGACCTCCTGGGAGATGATAGTAAGTGCCCCTTTGCCGGAATCCCCTGATTTAGGCTTGCTCTTTTTTTTTTTTTAATTGAGAAAATCCACATAAAGTTCACTTTTTAAAAAAAATTTATTTATTTTTGGCTGCGTTTGGTCTTCGTTGCTGCGCGCGGGCTTTCTCTAGTTGAGGCGAGCGGGGGCTACTCTTGGTTGCGGCACACGTGCTTCTCATTGCCGTGGCTTGTCTTTGCTAACGGAGCACGGGCTCTAGGTGTGCAGGCTCCAGTAGTTGTGGCACATGGGCTCAGTAGTTGTGGCTCACAGGCTCTAGAGCACAGGCTCAGTAGTTGTAGCGCACAGGCTTTGTTGCTCCGTGGCATGTGGGGTCTTCCCAGAGCAGGGCTCGAACCCTAGTCCCCTGCTTTGGCAGGCGGATTCTTAACCACTGCGCCACCAGGGAAGTCCAAAGTTCACTGTTTTAAAGTGTACAATTCAGTGACATTTAGTATATTCACAGAGTTATGCAACCATCACCACAGTCGAATTCCAGAACTTTTTCATCACCCCATGAAGAAACTCCATACCATTAGTGTCACTCCTCATTCTCCCCTCCCCCACCCCTAGGCAACCACTTATTTAACTTTCTTTCTCTATGGATTTGCCTAGTCTGGACATTTTACATAAAATGGAATCATACAGTATGAGGCTTTTGCATTTGGCTTCTTTCACTTTCCATAATGTTTTCAAGGTCTGTCCACATTGTAGCATTCCTCTCTTCATTCCTTTCTACGGCTGGACAATAATATTCCATTGTATGATATATCTCGTTCTGTTTGGTCATTCGTCAGTTGATAGACATTTGGGTGGCTTCCACATTTTGGCTAGGCTATTATGAATAATGCTGTTATGAACCTCCATGTACAAGTTTTTGTGTGGGCACATGTGTTCAGTTCTTTTGGGTGTAAATTTAGGAGTTGAATTACTGGAGTATATGGTAACTCTATGTTTAACTTTTTGAGGACCCGCCAAACTATTTTCCACAGCACCTGTATCATTTTACATTCCCACCAGCAGTGTAAGAGGATTCCAGTTTCTCCACATCCTTGCCAATACTTGTTATTTTCATTTTGATTATAGCCATCTTAGTGGGTGAAAAGTTGCATCTCGTGATTTCCATGGGCATTTCCCTAATGACTAATGTTGCTGAACATGTTTTCATGTGTTTCCTGGCTGTTTATATCTTTGGAGAAAGGTCTATTCAGATCTTTGCCCAGTTTTCTTTTTTTTTAATTTTTATAAATTTATTTTATTTTATTTATTTTTGGCTGCGTTGGGTCTTCGTTGCTGCGCGCAGGCTTTTCTCTGGTTGCGGTGAGCAGGGGCTACTCTTCATTGCGGTGTGCGGGCTTCTCATTGTGGTGGCTTCTCTTCGTTGTGGAGCACGGGCTCTAGGTGCGCAGGCTTCAGTAGTTGCGGCACATGGGCTTAGTTGCTCCACAGCATGTGGGATCTTCCTGGACCAGGGCTCGAACCCGTGTCCCCTGCATTGGCAGGCAGATTCTTAACCACTTCGCTACCAGGAAAGCCCTGCCCAGTTTTTAAATTGGGTTATTTATCTTTTTATTGTTGAGTTGTACGAGTTCCTTCTATATTCTGGACATTAGTCCCTTACCCTGTGTGTCCATGTCTGCTGCACTGAGAAGCAGGGCTTCAGGGTCATGCAAAGCTCACCAGGACAGTGAAAAATTATTTTATACTCAAAAACTGATACTATTATTTAATAATATAAAATGTTTTAGGAAAATAAAAATTTAAGTTTAAAAAAAAAAAAAGCTCACCAGGGACAACAAGGCCGAGGTTCCCCCCACCTGGCCCATAAGAACCCACAAAGCACAAGCCCATGGACGATGGCAGTGCCTTGTTCCTGCATTTCCATGGGGCTGTGGTGGCATGGGAGTAGCCTCTTCATTTGGCACCAGTTGTGTTAACTTCCTGCTTGGAAATATACCACTCCCTCCCCCATTCAGGTTTTTAAGGGACCTGCCTACAGGGCCAATTTCCTTCCTCCAAAAAGGCCCCTCTTTCAGTAGGAAGGTGTGGGAGACAGCTTGGTGGGGAACTTGCAGTCCTTTTCCCCAGTTCTCTGTGACCAAATCACATCTTTTGTTTTCTTTTTTTCCAGCGACACCGCCTGAGAAGCCTGTTAAACTAGCTTCACGTGCCAGAGACGCCACAGGTGCAGCCCAGGCGCTCCCTCCCTCAAGGGCTAGAACAAAGTGAGCACACGGGGGCTGGCCTGGGCATCCAAGCCCCGTTTCAGGCCCAATGCTCCTGCCCCTCCCCCACCCACCCACCACTTTCCACTCACTGTGGGCCCCACTTGTAGTGTCACCACCTCCCGGTCCTCCCGTCAGCTCCTGGGCAGTGAAGGAGCCTGGAGGAGTGCGAAGAGAACTGAACTGGAGGTCGGAGGTTCTGGCTTCTAGTCCTACATCGGTTATTTACTGTGTCACCTTGGGCAATTCCTGAACCTCTCTGAGCCTCAATTTTCTTTCCCTCAGAATAAGAGGATAGGCCTAGATAGGTGCCTCCCATATTGTGTCTGTCCTGAGCTTCTCCTGAAAGTTGCGAGATAGGGAGACACTTTGTGAGCTCTCTGCCCTCCACCTTCATTTTAGCCCAAGCAGTTCTGTTTTTCTCTCTTACCTGTTGTTTTTAAAGGGCTCTACTGCTTTAAAAAAGTTAAAAAATCACTGCATTAGGTGACCTGTGAAATTCCTTTCAGCAACTCTGTTCTTCCAGAGAAGAGTCTATCCAGGTTCACTTGGACTCTTTAAGCCACTTCTCCTTCCTTAGAATCATCTAGTGCCCTGGGGACCATTCGTGGGTGGGTGCTGACTCTGCCCCTTTGCAGGTCCCTCTTGGAAGATGATGCCTTCAGCACCAGGGCAGGCCTGGCAGGAGCTGATGCTGAGGTGAGCCTGGCCCATTCCCTGCTCCACGCCGACCCTACTTATCCCCAGAGACAGTGAGATGAGTGTTATGCCGAGGGGCTGCCCACAGAGGTTTAGAAGTCCCTGCAAAGCCAGTTTGTTCTTAAAAGGGCTGCTGGGGCTTCCCTGGTGGCGCAGTGGTTAAGAATCCGCCCGCCAATGCAGGGCACACGGGTTTGAGCCCTGGTCCGGGAAGATCCCACATGCCGCGGAGCAACTAAGCCCATGAGCCACAGCTACTGAGCCTGCGCTCTAGAGCCTGTAAGCCACAACTACTGAGCCCATGGGCCACAGCTACTGAGCCTGCGCTCTAGAGCCTGTAAGCCACAACGACTGAGCCCATGGGCCACAACTACTGAAGCCCGCGTGCCTAGAGCCCGTGCTCTGCAACAAGAGAAGCCACCGCAATGAGAAGACCGTGTACTGCAACGAAGCGTAGCCCCCACTCGCTGCAACTAGAGAAAGCCTGTGCACAGCAACGAAGACCCAACAGAACCGTAAATGAATGAATGAATGAATGAATGAATGGCTGCTGAGTGGACCCAAAGCAGCATCCTTTTCCTTTCTACCAGTGAGATGAGCTGGAAGGTAGAGCTCCGAGCAACTGCTTTAGGCTAGATGTTGCCACTTCTGACTGTGCTTCCCATAATAAACTCCACGCTGTCCAATCACGTGGATGGAAAGTAGCCTAATTTGAGTCCTACGATGGCTGTGCACTTACTGCTGGGAGGACCAGAAAGTGAGTGCTTTCTGGGTGTCCACAACTGGGCAGGCTTGACTTCATACAATACCTGAGCCGCAAGTGAGGGCAGGACCCTCCAATTTATGCCCCCTGACCCAGCTCTGCTCCTGCCCTAACAGAAGCAAGGCAACAAGGGCCCTGAGCTTTGTTAGGCCTTGACTAACATGCCTCCTTACCTCCCATCTTGTAGGTTTCAGACATCTCCGATGCAGACCCGCAGGCTCTGCTCCAGGCCATGAAGGTAAGGAAACAGCTTGCACAATTCGGGGAGCCAGGGACACAGGGTGGGATACTACTTTGTGCCAAGCCTTCATTCTCCCTCTCTTTTCTTCTTTTACAATTTGTATTTCGGGGCCCCACCTCATGCAAGAATGGCATTCATCGATGAGCTCTTGCCCTCCCTGCCGCTCTGGGTATAAATCAGTTTTCCTGGTTTATGGAAATTCACCCACCCAGAGACACAGTCACATCACAGGCCTCTGGTGAAATGGGGCTGCCTCCCCCCGTGAGGAAAGGGGGAGACCGTTTCCCCTAAATCTTGTTCTTTTTTTTTTTTGGCCACGCTACCCTCACCAGGGATTGAACCCAGGCCATGGCAGTGAAAGCCCAGAATCCTAACCACTGGGCCACCAGGGATTCCCTCCTAAATCTTGTTCTTAATCTTTCTCCAGATTTCTCCTCACATCCCCTGCCAAGTCCCCTTTAGTACAGCCGTCCTCTCGTCAGATCAAGCCCCAAGCTGATCTTTGCAATGGAATTTTAAGACATAAATTCATAAGCACCATCTCATGGGGCTCGGGTGGCCTGGCTGGGGTCTAAAATGTTGAGTGGTCCTGTTTTCTCCCTCCCCTTCTGTCCAGCAGCATCCTCCCGCCTGACCTCCGCTTCATGTCCCTTCTGGTTAACCCGTGCTGCCGCAGGCCAGGGCTGAGCGCTTGCTTTCAACCCTGTGGGGCCCTGAAGGGTTGAGGTCTGTTTTCTTCTTGGCTCCAGAATCAGCTTCTTTAACCTCAGTTTGAAATGGGTCCTCCCCAAGACCAGGCAGCTGGGCCCGCTGGGCGTGACCCTCGAGTCCTCTGACTGGTAGACAGTGGTGGCTCTGAGTCTCTCATTCCAGAACCACAAGCTGAACCCTCCACCCACTCTGCTTACCTTTGGTTCCGTTATCTTTCCCAACTCACCTTTTTTCTGAATAGTTTTCTCATTCTTTTGTTTCCTCACATTTCTGCCAACCGCCCTTGGAGCGCCAACCGCACTTATCAAAATCGCCATGCTTCCAGTCTGTACCAAGGGCTTGTGGCGACCAGGGAATCCCCAACCGTCTTCCCCTCCCAGCTTGCTTATGGTGGTTTTTAATGCCCTTACCATAGGCCATTCATTGACCCAGAATAGCATCCTTATCATACCTCTTCCTCTGTTGTCAGTTTGCTTCCCCTGACCCAGGCAGGCTAAGGAATCCAGATTTAAAAAAATTGTTTTTTAAGGCTTTGTATTTTGCAGGCTTCTTCATGCCTCTTTTTTTGTTTGTTTGTTTTTTTCCGGCCGAGCTGCTCGGCTTACAGTATCTTGGTTCTCTGACCAGGGAGCGATTGAACCCGGGCCCCCTGCAGTGGAGGCGCGGAGTCCTAACCACTGGACCACCACGGAATTCCTGAGATCAAATTTTTCTTGACTTTGAACAGAGGGTTATCTTCTTGCCTCAGGTCCCTTGTCACTGCCCAGTGGTAGTCCCTTGGGGAGTCTTAAACCCCAGGATCCTACTGTTTCATTTCTACTGCAAATAGCTTTGACATTTGCTAAGCCTTTGTGAGAAGCTGCTGAAAGCAGGTTTTAGGCACCCTCTCATTCTAGCATCAAGGCAGGAGCTGCCAGTGGGGCTGATAGGAGTACCAACCTGAGACCTTTCAGCTTATCTGAGATCGACTATGTTGAGTCTTTGGGCTTTGGCCCTGCCTCTGTCCTTGTTCTGTGACCCTGTTGGGGTCAGTCCCCCACCCCAAGTCCCCATTTGTTCCAAATGGAAGTTGGAGGCAACATCCTCACCAGGCTGCTCAGAGCATGAGGGTGTTTAGCACCCACTGGCTGAGCACCTGTGGGGATTCCTCCCTCCTCCCTGCTTTTCCAGGATCTGGATGAAATGGATGCTGATCTCTTGGGTCTGAAGAAATCTAATCTAGCCTCAAGCAAAAGGTCTGCAAAGGGTTCTGGGAAAGAAGAGCAGCCTAGTCCTCTTAAACCTGCTGGTGTGTTAACAGCCAATGAGAAACGTGAGTGAGACATAGGTCCTCGAATCAAGGGACATTTTGGGGATGTGGGAGGTGCTTAGAGGGTAGCTCTCAGCCCTGTGGGTTTTCTCTGCCTGGGATGGAGAGGCCAGGAGCTCATTGTGTACGTGTGTGTTAGAGTATTTATAGTGGGGGAGGGAGACAGGTTGAGCTTTCCTCCTTCCTACGCCTCTTCCAATCCCTCTAAGTCCAACATGGCAGCTCCTGGAGAAGCCATTTGAGTTAAATTGGAGAATTTTATGGTAGCCTGTGCATCTCCCAAACCTATGTCCCTGTTGGAGCAACTTGTGAATAGGGGGCCAGAGGTAGCTTCCAGACCACATTTCCCGGCCAGAAGCCTGTTTGAGAACCGGAGAAATGTAGACCCATCCCATGGCTGTGTCCACGGCCACAAGCCCTCAGCCTCCAGGTAGAAGTCCGCGCCAGCCCAGTGGTCCCAGTCTTGGTCTGGCAGAACATAGGCCAGGAGAGATCCAGGCCTGTGACCTTGCCTTCTCTTTGTTCCCTGCAGGAGATGCCATTCCCACCAAGAAGCTATCTCCCTATCCCACCAGCCTTGGGCATCAGTACAGGAAGTTCTCCTTCAAAGGTACCACAGGCCCTGCAGTCACACCTCTGGGGTGCTTCAGTTTTGAGAGTGCAGTAGGCTGGGCGATGCTTACTTGCTTGCCCGAGGCCAGGCCACTGTGTATGTCAGAAGAGGAGCAGAGAGCTCGTGCGCTGGTTTTGTTCCTCATATGAATTCAGGGAGGGACTAATTATGTTCTACTGGCTGGCATGTCTGGGGCACTTATTTGCAAGGACTTTGAAGCCAGGTGTCAAACTGAAGACTTTATAAAGTGTGGGGAAAAGTTCCTTTTCCTTCATGAATGCGTGGATGTTTTACTTCTCTTCTCATGCCTCAGTGCAGGCCCTGAAGCCCGGGCCACTCTCCCTGCTTCCTTTCCCCTGGCCCAGCCTGGTCTGTGTCCGAGCCCCGCTAACCCAGGCCCCCAGATGCCGAGCGGCTTGTATAGGTATCAGAGCGGCTAGAAATCTCCAGTAGAGCGATAACTCCCCTGGCACACACAGCGCTTGTTTTCCTGAACGAAGTGTGCAGTCTTCCCTTTGCTTCCCCTTCTGGCCGTGAGACTTGGAAGACCCATTGGCAGGACTTCTCTCTGATGATGAGGAAGGAATCGCCAAGAAGCTGCCGGGGACGGAGAGTAAAACAGCTTCCATAAAGAGCCCAGCCCCGGCCAGAGACCAAGGTGGGGTGGGCGTGTTACCCATTCCCGGGGCAGGTGTAGTTGGCTAACTGAACTTTCCGGTGCAGAGCCAGACACCCCACTAGGCACGGACCACAGGTCTCAGATCCTGGACCAAGAGGTTATCAGCCTCTGGGAACGGGGATGGCGGATGCAGGAGCCCGGGGGTGGGGCTGTGGGAGTGGGGCTGGGGAGCCCAGACACTGCCATGCCCGCC